AGTTGATGCTCTGACACCCTGGCTTTGCAGCACAGGTCCTGTAGCAGCTGTCGATATCACCGATGGTCAAAGTTTCCATGACATGGTTTACAAGCATTGTCCATAATTCTGAGGTATGACAGTCGGTATCAGCGATCTGAAGAGCGAAAACACAGATTATTCTGGGACAACCCACAATTGTAGATGTACAAACTCTCATCTTAATAACAATAATAATAATAAATGTTTTTACAACATAAGATTGCAAAGATATATACATTGATTTAATAGCGGAGCTATTAAATAATAGCCATAAATGAATAAAAATAAATACATAAATATAGCCATAGCTAAGAAAAAATGGTATAACATCGAGTCGATTTTCCATGGACCGACACAGGGTTCCCGCGCGTACGCACGTTTCCTTCCGTCCTTCCTTCCTGGATTCCGTGTACCACCACAGGAATCCCATACTCCGCTCGAAAAGGAAACAAAGCGCCAAGTATTTGTTGAAAAATCGAATTTTTTTCCTTCAACATTTATATTACATATTGATAATATTAGAACAATTATCACAAGGAAAAAGTGCACGAAGAGCGAAATAACAGCACAGAAATATTCCCGCCAATTTTGTCATAACTTCGACGCGTCCGCACATCCGGGAAATCGATTTGCATGAAGATGAAAAGCAATTTAGGCCCATCTTAAAAGTGATATTAGAAAAAAGGGTTTTACTTTGATATTTCGGCAACAAGAAAGAGATGATACTTTATTGGAAATACTTCAATAATATGGACCAATATGGGAAAAAGCAGGGATCTATGAGAAGTTCTTTTGTCGACTAAAAGTGTGAACATTTCGAAAAGACCATGCTAGCAGTTAGATTGAGAGAGATTAAAAACAAAGAATCTACAGTCTTGAAATACTTAATAAATTGATGAAACCTATGCTTGAAACAAGTATGGCTCTGTTGAAGATGACCTTTGAACGATAATTTATTGGAAGTTCGATAATGAAGGTAAAAAAAAAAATTGTATACAGTTTTCTGTGATATGTGAAGTTCGAGTAGTCCGGGTTCAAACATCGATTATTGAAACATTGTTGATTATTGTAAGCTTTGTAGACTACTTTTTGCCGAGAAGCTTTCAGTTTACTTTAAATCAATTTACCTTTACAGATTATAATTTTAAACTTCATCCAACGGAACAAAAGTCAATATTAGTACGAACTAAATTCTCATAAACATACTTTTTATAATATTTGTTCGCATGTCAACAAACTGTTGTAACTCACATTCCTTAGAACATTGCATCTACCTTTGAAATAGCACTATTAGATAATCATTTTCAGCTTCTATATTGCTATTGGAGCTCCGCTATTAGGTGTTGCCTAATTTTTATATTAAT